GATTTGTCGTTGTGTTTTCTGACTTGTTATTTTGTTTTCGGATTTGTCGTTGTGTTTTCTGACTTGTTATTTTGTTTTCGGATTTGTCGTTGTGTTTTCTGACTTGTTATTTTGTTTTCGGATTTGTCGTTGTGTTTTCTGACTTGTTATTTTGTTTTCGGATTTGTCGTTGTGTTTTCTGACTTGTTATTTTGTTTTCGAATTTGTCATAGTGTTTTCTGACTTGTTATAATGTTTTCTGAATTGTTGTTGTGCTTTCTGAATTGTTATTTTGTTTTTTAGACTTGCATTTGCGTTTGTAATTTGTTATTTTGGTTTCAGAATTGTGATCTGCTTTGCACTTCTCGGCCACCGTAGGCTATGGCTGTGACATCATATTGTGACTTTAGTAAGTGTGTAACAGGGAGTATTTCATCCTGCAACCGTTTGAAAGTGGTGAATGCAGATGACTCACTATTATAAGTGTCTTCATTTGTAATAATTCTACTTTCTTAAAACCATGGATGCAAACACCCTGAATGCAGATTACTTTTAGAGTATAGCTTACTTTTTTTTTTTTTTAAACCAAAGTCACAAGGACATTACGCATTGGAAACTCGCTAGCAAGGCGCTCTTTCACTTTGACAACCAATGTCTTGTTAGAGATGGTAAACTCAATAAAAAGTTAAAAAGAAATAACCATTTTATATGAGATTTAACTCACATGGCTCCCTGAACAATTAAAATTATACCACATCTGTCAAGCTTTTTTATAGGTGCTCACTCTCGTTCCATGTCTTTTCATTTATTTTAACCCTTTCCTCTGAAACAGACACATACTTTGAGGGGCTACTGTTTGTTTCCTTTACCTGTAATTACCTGGTAAGCACTTTAATGACAGTCAAAACACTTCTGGGCAATAACATCAGACTGTGGTAAACACCTCATGACCTGTTTCTGACAAATGGTTCATGTGTATCGGCAAACCATACTGTAATTTGGCGCTTAACATGATGATAGTGATTTATAAGGCTTAAATGCAGGTGGTGAGATGTTTAAACCAGTAGAAAAGCTACGGGTTTTGAGTTAATAAGTTGCCTGATTATTTTAAGGTTGTGCTCTCTTGTCAGGCTTGATACAAAGAGCTTATGTTTGCTCTCCATCCCTCAGTGTCCAGTCATTGAGGGTCTGTGGAATGTCAACAATGGTTTGGAATCTGCACTTGAACATACTTTGGGAGACAAAAAACAGGGAAGTGGAGTCATTTAATTCCCAGAACCTTTCCTTTTGTCTTGGTAAATATTATTGCTACATTTTCTTATAATATATTTGATGATTGCCACACAATAAAAAGACAACAAAACATTCCCAGAGTTTTACTATTGTTTTTATCTATGGAACTGAACTATATAATACATATCATTCTGTAAAACCACATCATAATTTGAACTTTATATAAAACATTTTTTATAATAATTAAGCCAGTTTTGTTTCACTGGATATTGTGTCTCTGACATTCCTTAAATAGCTCTGCCTCACCTAAATGTTTACTGATAAAATGTCATGGAAGTGATCTTGCTGGACAAATATATGCAAGTCATACACGTATCTGAACCTCATGTTTTATTTTTATTTTTTTTCTTGTTGAATCATAAACAAGTGATTTTCATGTTGTTATGACAGAATGACTGTGAAGGGCCTCTTGAGTGAGAAAGTGTAGTTTATCAGGGGCCTTTGTTTGCAATGATTAGTAGTTTATTCTGACACTTGGGAATTTCTCAGATGACGGATACCTAGTGATTACTAAATTAGCCCTGTTCTTTTTATTGTTATAAAAGCTGTACACACTGTATAATACCATAGATATACTATATATTAGACATAAAAACTTCATATTAATAAATCAAGCTAAAATAAAAATATTGATTTATAATTTATGATATTTCCAACAGAGTCAATGTAAATGCAAACCGAGATTACGATCAGTGGCTGTAATGTGTATGAACACTACAAATGTGATGTTTTGTCATGTTGAAAGGGGGTGGGGAGGGGTGTATGTGAACTATATAAGAGTACCGTGTACAGTTTTTCCTCAGGTTCACTCTGTCAGGTGTGTCCATCACTTCACCTGTCGCTCTTGAGACTCTGCTGAAGAATGAGGAAGTACAACTTGAGCAACATTACAGGAGTACTATTCAAAAACTCAGTTGCAGCTGAGCAGGTAACAAACAATTATGTTTACATCCATTTTTATTTATTGGCATGGTTTGACATTGATAATAAAAAAGAAAGATAACGTGATGTGATTTTAGTAATGAGTATTTATTATTATTGTTACTTTTTGCAGGATAGCAATGGATCTAACAAGCAAGATCCTCATGTTGGGCAAGAAGATGAAAACACTGACAGGGGAAACTGGAGCAGCAAAAGAGAGTACATGCTGTCTATGATCGGCTATGCTGTTGGTCTTGGAAATGTGTGGAGATTTCCCTACTTGGCTTACAAACATGGGGGAGGTACAGTAAGATGACTTTTATTATGATTTTTCATATAATGTATGTTGAATTAATGTCTTATTCATACTGTATAATAGAGGAGCAAGAAGGTAAAACTAGGCCAGAAAAAGGGCAATATATTTAACTTTTCCTTCATAACTCAATTAAAAGAGCATTTATATGAGCACAAAATTATATTTAAAGAAAACTGATTTTTTTTTCTTTCTTTTCTCTCTCTCTGTTTTAAATACTGCGTCTTTTCAACAATTCAAGGGGCCTTCCTCATCCCCTACACTATCATGCTGGCTGTTGCTGGCCTTCCTCTGTTCTTCATGGAGAGCTCTTTTGGACAGTTTTGCAGCCAAGGCCCCATCAATGTGTGGAAAGCTGTGCCTATACTGCAAGGTAACTCTGAATTCAACCTAAAACGAGTTTCTTAAGAATGCACTGTGGATTCAAATAGACTTTTGCCACAGTTTGAGGTCCACCAATGTTGTAAATGCCTCAAGGCTAATTCACAAATGTATTAAACCAACCTTGAGACACAAGGACAAATACTCCTCCAACACAATTTAACATGCAGATTGCATAATTACATTTGCCCTCAGGACCTTTACATTAATGTTTAAGGGGGTTTGTGGACACTAAAAAAATCCAACATGGGCAAATCAAGTGCACACTTATTTGAGCGAATTGATTCAAATGTTTGACTTTTATACTTTAAACATATATTTTTAAAGTGATATTTTCTTTTGTAGGTGTTGGCATCACAATGATGCTGGTTAGCACGTTTGTGGCAATCTACTATAATGTGATCATTGCTTATAGTATCTACTACCTTTTTGCATCTTGTCAATATCCTCTCCCTTGGAGTGCGAAGGACTGCAACTCAACAGGTTTGTTAGACTGTTTCTTTTCTAAAGAGGCCCGTGTTTCTGTGTCAGACATACCATGACTTTATGCTCAGATAATGCAAGTATTTGGATTTTTCTAGTTGAACTGGCTTGTAAAGGAAATTTGCCTTTCACACTTAATACTGTAAAGAAAATATCTAATGGGAACCTCCTTACAGCTCTGTGCTTTATAGATCTAACTACTATTTTATATGTTCAAAGTATTTATTTATCAAGATGCAGAATAATACTGCAGTGGATCATTGTTTAGACCTTATGTTGTATTTCAATAGCTTACAACATTACTGCTGCAACACTGAATGTGACTGCTGAGAATCAAACCTGCCAGAATGAATTTACAGCAGGCCAGAGCCCTAGCGAGAAATACTGGGAGTAAGTTGACATTTGTTTTTGTACAGCTTCTCAGTGAGACTGAGCTTTGTTGGCACACTTTTTTTTCTTTCTTTTTCTTTCTTTCTATATATATATATCCTAAATTTTGGATTATTCATGACTAATGTTTTGGGCTGTGTCAGGATTTGGGGTGATTGGCACAGCATTACAAATTTGTAGAGTGTCGTTTCTTTACTGTTCTGAAGTGTTTTCTGTTAAAACAGGAAGCTTGGGTGGGATGTTTGCCTTTTGATGTTTACAACGCTTTAGTTTTAAGATGGAAGCGGCAAACACAAAAGATAAAAATGTGTATTAAAAAAAACTAGACTGAAATGTACACTACTGTTCAAATGTTTAGTGTGACAGTAACAAAGGTCATCAAAGGTGACAGTAAAGACAGAGCTTGTCTCCAATATCTAGTAATTAACATTAAATTATTATTTTTTTAATTCTCTCTCTAAAGACACATTTTGCTTTGAATGAAGTTTAAAAATAGTCTTCACCTCAACATATTTTAACCTTTAGTCTTTAGTCGAGAATCAATGGGAGTGAGTCAAAAAGGAAAATATATTTTTCTTATCTGCATTATTTTTTTTTGCTTATGTGTGTTGTACGTTCGTTCTTTTTTTTTTTTTTTTTTATTTTGCCTTTTTTG